CCCCTCCCCCGCCCCCCAACCCTGGGATTGGCTCTGGGCCCAGCGTTGCAGTGAACTCCGCGGTTCGGGAACCTGGCTTGTCCCTGCGGCCTCAGCCCCGCCAGCTCCGAGGAGCCCTGCCCTCCGCGTTTGGAGCCGCACTGCCCCCTGCTGGACAAGCCTGGCGGGGCGGCCCGGACTCGGGGCACCTCATTGTGTCCCGCCCACAACCCAGGGTGACTCGCCGCCCTCGCTCCTTATGGCCACTCCTGCAGGTCAAAACCTTCTCGACTGGTCCCAGGGCCCCCTGCGAAGGGGGGACAGGGCGCTTCGGGGTCTGGACCAGCCTGTAGGAGCTTGGCTAGTCGGACAGGGTCCCAATTCCTCTCCCACTCGGTCCTTAAGGACGCGTCCCAGGCGAGAAGGGAAACCAGGTCCCAGAGAACTGTGGCCTCTGGGTGCACGGAGGGCTTTAGTCAGTGGGTTTGGGTTTTGACGCTTGGGCCCAGCCAGCGGGTGGTCTGCCCTTGGCCACGCTTGTGATAAAGCTGATCAGTTCCTTAACTAATCCTGTGAGGTTGGGGGAGGGACATGATTGTTCCAAGACATCAAGAGTGGGAGGGCCCGCGCGGGCACACACACACACACACACACACACAATTCCAAGACATCAAGAGTGGGAGGGCGCGCGCGGGCACACACCACACACACACACACACACACACACACACACAGCTGCGATGGATGCAGACCTTTGGGAACTTCTGAGGATCTGAGAGAGAGCCCCACCCACCCCTTGGCTCTTTCTGGAGTTTCCATCTTTCCCAGGGATTGACCACCGCTGCTGCCCACTCCTCCCCCACACCCCTCGACCTCCCCTCCCGGAGGACACAGTGCCTCTGCAGTTAGTCCGGTCTCAAGGACTTCCTAAAGGCTGTGAAATGGGGAGGCACCAGGAACCCCCACCCTTCCGACCCCAGGCCCTGCCAGTGTGCATCGTTGGAAGAAGGGGTTCCCAGCGCAGAGTGTTCAGGGGGCGGTGGGGAGCGGGGCAGGGTGCTGCTCAGAGATCTCCAGCCACTCCCAGCACCTCTGCCTGGGCTCGCTCTCCCCATGATTGCTATCCTGCTGGTGGCCTCCGAAGCCACTTCCCAGCCGAGTTCTCCGCCATCTCTACTCCTGACAGCGATTACATAGATTGTGCAGAAATGGCATCTGCGAGTGGAAGGGGCAGGCGAGGCCGTGGGTCACCAGACCCCACACAGGCTGAGATTCCCGGTCACCTGGGTGGGGCATTTTGCAGCTTGTACTCGTTGTGGGTCGCACGAAAAAAGCAATGAGGGGATCAAAACTGTTGGGTGGGCTTTCTTGCCTGTCCACTCTGTAGGCGCTAACTCCCCTCCCCCACCCCCAAGTCCCATTCCACCGCCTCCCGCCCCTGCCTCCACAGTCTCCGCGCGGGTTTTCAGGATGGAAGGTCACTGGCTCTGGACCGCTGGAGTTCAGCCGGGGTCCTTGCCCAAATGCGAGGCCTGCGGTTCCTGCGTGGGGTGGGGTTGGTGGAGCTACTGGCTGGACTTCTCTGCCGACGGGTAGAAGGCGAGAGACCATCGCTGCAGCCTGGGGCTTCCTGGGGCAAGATAGGGAGCGACCCGGGGAGAACAGCCCGCAGGGGCTTCGCCCTAGTTGGAAGAAGTTCAGATTCCACCTCCTCCTTCTGG